TTGCACACTTATAATAGTCTGTGGAGATTAACCTACCCAGATAATTTAATTTTTTCTTCTAAGAAGACAACTTAAATATTTAAAGGACACACACAGGCTTGATGGACTTGGAAGTGTACCATCCATGTTAGTTGAGGTTAAAACGCTCAGGTGAACTGAAATGCACCTTAGAATTCATAATTAGCCAAGTGTTTCCAATCTGATTTTTTCATGCACTTTAGCTATTAGAGGACTACTATTCCTTTAAATTAAACTCTGAAGGGAAAGCTGTCCTAGACTGGCAGACCATGAAGGCTGATTCCCTATGGCTTCTCTCATGTGCCTCTATGTTTAAGAATGACAGACAGAACACCAGCCCTTATAAAGCCTACGTTCTGGCCATGAGCTGAGTCGACAGGACCAAGATGACAACCTGATGCAGACTCTTCACTTCTCTCTGCCACCTGCCAGGCAGCTCCCCAGCCCACACAGCAGCAACCATTGCTGAAAAGGCTATTCTGCCTGCCTGGGCATCTCAGGGGACTACCCCCATCTCAGCAGCTGAGCATGAAATATGCACACAGCACATTTTTTACAAATCAGGATACTACGTACAATGAATAATAACCATAAAAATATGATGAAATCCTCTTAGGCCAAAGCAAATCTTTAAAAAGGCCATTTTTAAAAAGCCATTTAATTCATTCTGCTATCATGGGATGGAGCCAAAATAAACCTTCAAAAGAAGAACTGAAAATGAATCTCCAACCAATCCCCCTACACGAAGTCCCAAGCTTCTGCCCCAGGAAATCACTGCCAAATGGCTGCTGTCAGCTCATGTTCTTGGTGTTTCTAAAAGGAGTGGCGGGGGGAGGGGAGGAGGGGGGAATCCACATTGTACTAAGAATACACAAGTCAGAGCAATAACTCATAAAACATTTGAATAACCCATTCATTTTTAATTTGGCTATAATTTCTGTGATAGTTTTAAAGACAATGAACCCATCTGACAGAAGAGGATGACAGGGACTTTTCCAGGATCCCCACTGTAAATCAGCGTTCACTGGAAGCATGTTCAAATACTGCACCACTCCCTGCTATCTGCTTCTAAAAGCAGGAGTGAAGCCATTCCATCTGCCTACCGGCATTTGCCCATTTAATCAGCAAAGAGTACACGGTGCCAGTGTGATCCAGGCCCCTGTGTGTGTGTCCCAATGACCTAGTTTAATGAAATCTGGTCTCGCATCAAACAGAACCCAGGTTTAATTCCTAGCTAGAGAGGCAAGGTCACAGTGTGCAGTTGACCGGATGAGGGAGCAATGCTCAGAAAATTGTGGCGCCTTGTGCACCATTTGAAAACAGGTAACAGAGAAGCCTCTGTGGTTTCTATCATCTTGACTGGATTGTCCCTGTGACATCTCCTGACTCTGCCTCCCTCCACGCCCAGCAACCAATTTCCTAAAATTCTGAACTCTGGATCTACGGAGTTAAAAAAATGAAATAAAAAAATAAAATAAAGTAAAATAAAGTAAAATAAAAAATAAAATAAATAAAATAAAATATGTTTGGCTTCCCTTTCTCCTATGTTCTTTGTCCAAGATGGGTCAGGGAACAGATCAGCCTCACCCTCCCCAAAAGAATGGACTCCAAGACCCTGTGCTTCCAATCTACCACTAAGAATAATTTTAAAGCAGAAAATAAAATACATGCAGTGCTGAACTCTTCATGTACTTGAAATCTGAGAATATTTCAATCCTATTTGACATCTTGACATTTAGGAATCATAGGTCCTTCTCTGGTGGAAAAAAATATATACACTCTTTTAAAAAATATCAAAGGTCTCTGAGAAACCAGTGGTAACCAACAATTCCATTCCACACATCTCATCATAGGGTACAAATTTATTTCTAGGATTCCTCTAGCCTTGTTCAGCTGGTGTCCTCTAATGATAGAATTACCTGCTCAATTTTAAAGCAGTTTTGTCAGTGAAGCCATCAGGCTTCATAGCACTGAGGATGAGATAGGCTAGTCTGAAATTCACAGACTTCAAGAAACAAAAAAAGACTTTTAAAAGGTGAGTCGAGTCCCCTGTCCAAAGGGGCCGTAAAACCAAGTCGTCGAGGGCACAGCTGGCTGCAAGCACCAGCTCTGCCCTTCCCCGGTCTCGAGATGGAAGATGAAGGAGGCCACAGCGTCTACCTCCCCAGGTGTTCCTGGAGCAACGAGATGGTGAGTGAGTGTGGTGGGCTCAGCACAGCATTGAAGTGAGCATTCCCTACTTGGTAGACATTATTTGCACTGACATGTTGTAAGCCATTCCATCCACTGGGTAGGCATGAAGTACATGGCACTATATACCTAAGAACCTCCACCAGATGATCACCCGCTAACTCCCCCTTTTAAAAGCTACTCTGTGTATCTAAATCTCTCAGCTGCAGAGTAGGTGCATCTTTACATAATCAGCATAAAGGATCTCATTAAAAATAATGAGGACAATTATTTGAGCCATACAGTGATAAAATATTTCAATCCAAAAATTATGACAATTGATGATGAAAAAGCCTGATTGTTGTGAAGTATCACTGTTTCATTTTGATATTTATTAAGCTGTGTTTTCCCAAATATTTTCTAGTAGCAAATACCTTACTCTACTGAAAAGTAAGAAAAATGGAACACAAAATTATTAGCTCAGTGTCACAGGTGCCAAATATTAGACCCAGACATGTTCATATTCTCACTCACTCCTTGGTATTCCAAAGGCAAAGAAAAAAGTCAGAAATAATACACAAAGTGAAACACACAGTTAAGCAATTACCTAGGGGAGAGACAGTCATATAAGCCTCCCTAACCCTCTTTTCCCTTTTCCTTCTATCCCTTTAACTCATTAAAAAAAAGTCCACATCATGTCTTTCTTCAAAACATAGATCATGTGTATGTGGTGTGTTTGGGGAGAGAGATTTCAGAGGTAGTAACACCAGTGCCTGTTCCCCACGATCATGTAAATCGTTCTCTTAACTGATCACATATTCCTCGACTTCTGTACTTAGATTATCACTCCTCCCACATCACACGCATGCACACACACAGGCAGGTGAAGGAAGTGTGGGCCTTGAGCAGGAATATGGGATATAAACATTAGCGTTCAGTGGAATTATATACAATGACTTTCTGTGATCTTGTTGTTGTTACTCCTAAGGCTGGGTGAGGTCCTCCTGGGATGCAGGGGAGGATATATGAAACAGTAAGAAAGTGGGCTTAGTGCTCCACAAAGAGGAGCCCCTTTCATTTCCATCTAATCCATCCTGTCATCAGCACCTAAAGAAGCAAATGCTTTTCCCAGGTCATATATTTTGTATCTATGGCCCGGCATCTTTCCATCTTCCACCTCCCTCAACATGAGTCCTCAGCTTCATGGCAGCTGCTGCCACCGCTCCACCATGGCCACCCCAACTGCCCCCACCATCCTGCCCACCCCTAAAACCACCAGCACCTCCACCCATGACTCCAACTACCATGCCCACTGCCGCCACCTAGCCCCAGCACAGCATTTCTTCCCATATCTCTTCCTTGTGTCTCAGTTACACATCAGTCATGTCACACCCTCCACCTGCAGCCCTGCCTCTGGCCCCCAAATAACACTGCACCTCTCTTGCCCTTATTTGTCCATCAATATCCACCCATTTAACAGCAACATAATAGCTGTTGTCTCATCAGAAAAATTAATTACAACCATTCCCAAGTAGGGAAAAGCCATCAGTTACAAACACACTAATATTTTGAAAACAACTTTAACAGAATAAAAAAAGCTCTCGAGTTTAAATAGTCTTTGAGAAAAGAACATCACAGAACCAGTGATGTACAGAACAGAGCCACTCCAGTAGTCTTGAAAATCCAAAAGCACACAATCTGTGCCACTAATTTGTGGAGCATGGTCATGGATTTGACTTAAAACAAAGTTTCCATTCTCCTTTCCTAGTTTTACCCCTAAAAACCTCAATCTATCCCTTCTGGCCTCCAATGTACAGACCCTGCTGCTCGCTGTTCAGCTCCTTTCATCCAATCAAAGCCAGACTTCAAACTAGCATTTCTACCCTCTCTCCTCAATGACCAGAACTTAAGAAGAAGCCTCCCTTCCTGAGAGTCTGTCCTGAGCTGAATTCCCACAAAGCAAAGCCAGCCCAGCGGTTGTGCAGGGTGTGAACATGCAAGGGCACCAATCGCAGCATTAGCATCTCTGCTATCTTTATAATTGCATTTTTATTACAACTTTGGTGATTTAAAGATGGGTAATTTACTTAAATTGCAATTTCCCTGCATGTGGCAATAAAGTGTCTTATTCTAAAAGTCAGTGTAGTCCAACAATTTTCTATCTGATGGAAGGAGAATGTCCATGGAAGAGGTGACTTTGTCTAATTTGCACAAAATGCCAGACGGGCTCAAGGCAGCCCTCAGAAAAGATTCTCGCAAATGCTTTCAACTTTCTGGGTCTCGGCTGTTCACTAAAGCTTCTACTTTTAGTTTAATAAACTCTGTTTGTACTGTATTAACTCCTCCCCCACAAACAAATCTAGTCTTCTTTTCAGTAAGTTCAGTTATCAAGCACATCCTCCACGCCAAGCGAGCCCCTAAATGCTGCTGATCCCCTTGTCCTGTTTCTGTCAGTTGGTGTTACTACACACATGTTAACAGGAACACAATAACCTTTTGTTACAGTAGGAGATTAATTACCACTAGGAAAGAAATGTCTATTACAGACACACTCCACCAATTTAAAATCCTTAACAAAGAATGTTGTTTGAACTTGAATTTCAGTCAATGTCTGACTATATTCCTCACATTTCAAAAAAGCAAAATCAGACTTTCATATGAGAATTCATTTGAATTTGCTTGTTTTGTTATTAATATTTTAAAAAATTACCAAAGTTACTTACTTGGAGTACCAGAAGTTTTATACAACATTTAAGAGACAGTTATGGACCCATATCAAATGGAATAATAAATAGAAAGGCACATACACTCACCTTGACCCCCAGAAAACAAGTTTTACTGCCATTGGGGAAGATGCACCCTCATTGACAATCCAGGTATAGAAACCTTATAGGAAACAAAAAGATACAGGAAAATTTAGAAGAAAGGAGGAAGATTCAGGAAAGCATAAACAGTAACTTCATTATGATACTACTTATCACTGAAAAATAAAGTTAGTTCAGAGTTCTTAAACCTAAGCAGTAATTGTACCACAAATAAATTCTTCAAAATTGGCGTTGTGTCATAAACTCACCACTTGGATGTGTCTAGAATTTTAGAGATACTTCGATCTTATTTTCAAATTAATCCTCAGTGGATTACCTGACTTCAATTTTCTTCCTAACTTAATCCCTAAAGCTATTAATGATGTGAAAACTGATTCTTAAATATACCATATGAATAATTTTTAAAGATTTTTATTTTATTTATTTTTAGAGAAAGAGAGGGAGAGAAACATCAGTGTGTGGTTTGCACACCCCCTACTGGAGACCTGGCCAACAACCCAGGCATGTGCCCTGATTGGGAATCAAACCAATGAACTTTTGGTTCGAAAGCTGGAGCTCAATCCACTGAGCCACACCAGCCAGAGCTAAATAAAGTATCTTAAGTACTTCAGACTTGGCTTTTGCCAAGGAAAAAATACCTCTGATACATGAATAATCATGTCTATTTTGCAGAAATTAATTTTCCTAAATTACACCAAATTTATACTGTTAAGCTTCTTATTTTCTTCTAGTTCAGAAGAAATTAAAAGCCAGAGGACCCATAAATCCTACAATATTGACAATATTAATATTAGTTAAATCCTAATAAAATTGTATTTCAAAATAAGTCAGCAAAAATTCTTTCCCTCTCTAAATCGTCCAGCAGGAAAATTAGTTGTCAGATGGCAGAAAAGATATGAATCTTCCACCCAGATGATGCTGCAATAGACACCACAGAATACCTATTATTAGGTTGTATCTCATAAAATTGCTGATATACAACAATTTTTTAGCTACAAAAATGACAATTTCATCGTTTTTCCAAACAAGAAAATAGACATGATTTTAAAACCCAGTGATCATGAAACAAATCTTCAAAACTACCAATTACTCAGCAGAAATCATTTTTCTGAGCAGCATCAGTTGTTTGGGTATTAACTGTTTCCATTCCGACCCAACATACATTCATGGCACCTGAAAAGATATTAAATGAATTGCCTCCAGCCTTTGGAAGGGGTTGAGAGTCTCTTTTCAATTCTTTCTTGCTCCCCAGACTCTATTTACTGCCAACTCCCTCTCAGCTTCCTCCTTGAAACATTAAGAGTTTCTTCCAAGAGTGCAATATGGCAGAGAAAAGCTGAGGGCTGGAAGGCATACCAGTGAGAGTAAGAATGCAGATCTTCAAGAAAAGAAGGCTAAAGGGAATGCACATCAAAGTAAGTGAGGAGCGCAACGTGGGGGCAGGGTGCAGATGAAGGAAAACAATGCTAGGGGAAAAAGCAGAAGGGCTGCCTGCACTTACGTGGTGGGGAGCAGCACAACACCTAGTGAAAACTGAACAAGTCCCAGTCCAGGTGGAATAAAGGGAACATTTACTTCTGCCTCATAGTAACCCTCCTATCATAGGACCTACCACAGCCACCACTCCCACGCCATCCCACCACTGCTGTGAACAGAATCCATGTGCATGGGCAACACCATTGGAACAAAAAACCAACAGAACAGAGGCCATGTAAGTACCCTAGGTATAAGAATGCACACATTTACAAAGTGTGCCTTCTTCTGAGATGGAATAGGAAGGACTTAAATAATTTCTCCCGCTACCAGGAGGCCCATTAAGTGAGCAGCCTATCAGAAATTGTTTTTGTTGGGTTTTGACATGAATGAGCAGCCAGTCATAAAATAAGCTTTTTAAAAATAATTTTTAATCTTCACCCAAGAACATATTTATTGATTTTTTTAGAGAGAGAATGGAAGTAGGGAGAGAGAAAAATAGAGACATCCATGTGAGAGAGAAACACTGATTGACTGACCCCACACACACTGGGGATCGAACCCAAAACCTGGTTGTGTGCCCTAACCAGGAATCAAACCCACAGTCCTTTGCTGTACCAGATGACAGCTGCAACTGACTAAGTCACCTGACCAGGGCGCAAAACAAACTTTTTGATCTCTCTTTAATACCATGCTTCTATTTCTCATTCCCTATTTTTAAAACTAACTATCATTTTTTAAATTACTTTATTGTTGCTCAATTATAGTTGTCTGCATTTTCCCTCCTCCACTCCCCACAACCCCAGCCAAACCCATCTCCCTCCCTTGCTTCCACCCTCCCCCTTGGTTTTGTCCACATGTCTTTTATAGTAGTTCCTGAAAACCCTAACTATCTTAAGATAGACATAAGGTCAAAATCAGGTTTCTGACCATGGTGGGTGGTAGCAAAGTCCAAGTTGATATGCTAGGTGAAACATATAGTTTCGTTTGCACCCAGTCAGAATTCTAAAACAACATAGGGCCACAAGAAAAAATCAAGGAGGCAAAATTGGACATTCAGAGGCACTCCTCATTGTTTCAAGTAGAGACTTTCCCCTTAAAAGAGCTATTGTGATCTAGCATGGACCACTCTAATGTTGAAGGTAAATGCATTAATGATGGCAATAGCTGAATGACAGCACTGATAAAGACTAACTGGAAGTTTAAGAAAAACACAGTCAGTCTGGAGGGTCTATGGGAGGAGGTAGGGCTTAAGGAAGTAGTATGCAATCATGAGAGACACGAGAACTCTACAGGAAGAACACTATGTTCATAACAAAGCTCTATGGTTCTAACTTCCCCTTCCCTTCTCTCCCTCTTCTCTTGGTAAAATACCCCCCATTTGGGCCAGCAGGCCATGACTTGCCTTGTCTGCATGCACTGGGTTGTAGCCCTTTCTCTTTCCCAAATAAATCCTTTTTGGTGGCAACACCCATTGTCAATATTAATTTTCAGTTGACAGCACTAATAGTAACAGTAATAATGGAAAAAGGAAATTAGTAGTAGTAGTAGTAGTAGTAGTAGTAGTAGTATCACCACAATAAAGACCTACTGCAAAATAACCACTGTGAATTAACTGACCAGTTGGGATTTCACTGCTCTTTGTGAAAGAGTTAAAAAGTGACTTCATGTTAATAAATCAACTGAACTACTGTAAGCAAAGTTAAGGAGTGCTGGCTAAGGTATGTGAAGACTATACATACAAGTGTGGAAGCCACCAGGTACCAACTAAAAGAGACACTCTGTGAAGAGCTACAGGCTATTGTAGAACCACCTGGTCAATCTCATACAAAGGAGCCGTAGGCCACTGATAATTGTCACTGTGATTACAGCAGGGTCTAGAAAACATCAGCCAGGCAAAAGGATATGGAAGCTGACACAGAGGCAGGAAGAAGAGGTGTTACCTGATGCCCCAGAGTCCATTAGTGAAAAAGCTGAGAAAGTAAACTCTGCACTATCCTATGTGAGCAAACCTGAAACAGGTGCCTCCATAGTAACCACTGAGGGAGCTTATTAAACACAGAGATTTTGGGCACTGTCCTAAAACTTACTCTTGAATCTAAAGAATTTATATTTTCAAGAGCGTTCCCTGGGTACTACTGGAACATAGCCACGCTGAAGAGCCAATGCTATGACAAAACAAGGAAACTACTGGAGAAGCAGTCTCTCAGTTCACCGGGAGTTTGAGGTGGGTCACTAGGCAAGTTCACTTAATCTTAAGAGCAAATCACAGAATAGATTTCAACACACTGGTTTTGCAGAAGAAGAAACTGAAGGATGTGTCTGAAAGGTCAAATGACTTTCCCAACCTGTTAAAGTAAAAAAAACAAAAAACAAATCTGACCTTGTGACTCCCTTCTTAAAAGTTCTTTGGTGGGTGCTCACTGCCTAAAATGGAATATAACTTTAAGTCCTTTGTAGGTAAAAACATGGCCCCCAACTCTAATTCAACCACTCTGCTCCTTCAGCCACCCTCATCCATGCTCCAGGCAAACCAAACTTATAAGCCAGGGTGTCCAATCCACAGTCCGCAGCCCACAGGCCACATACGGCCCAGGATGGTTGTGAATGCAGCCCAACAGAAAATTGTAAATTTACTTCAAACATTATGAGATTTCTTTGTGATTACATGTCACAATGTATTTAATGTGTATCCCAAGACAACTCTTCATCTTCCAGTGTGGCCCAGAGATGCCAAAAGGTTGGACCCCCTGCTCCCAGGCAGCACTATCTCAAGCCTCTTTGATGTTGCCTCCACCCTTCAACCACCTCATGTTCCAAGATGGAGCTCAAACCACCAGCCCCTTCATGAAGCCACTGCCCACCACTGATCCTTACCCAAATAGAACTAACCTCTTCCTTTGATGGGTCCTGAAGTAATTAGAACAATAAAATGACACTTTACTTCTCTCCAATATTCACATCTGATCATAAAAACAGATGACACAATTTTTGAGATTAGATGTTAGTAAACTTTTTAAGAATAAATGCAGTGCTAGAGTTAACGTTAAAATCTGAATCTGTATTCAAGTCAGAACTGGTATACCATGCTGTGTCTCCAGAAGCCCTGAACCTGATTTTATAAGAGTTACTCCATAACTATCTCTACAGTAACTATCTCTGTGAGCCGCATAGCCTCACGTGGTGACTGAACACTAGATGTGGCTCATCCGAACTGAAATGCACTGTATAAAAGACACACCTAATTTTGAAGATTCAGTATGAAAAAAGAATGTAAAATAACTCAACACATTACATGATACTTTGTCTATATTAAGTTAAATAAAATATATTAAAATTAATTCCATCTGTTTCTTTTTGCCTTTTTAATGTGGCTATTAAAAACTTTAAATTACAATGTGACTTACATTGTATTTCTATTGGACAAGGCTACTTGATAAGGTATAGCTTTTATTAATAAATCTGCTAAGATGTTAGCTTTTTCTGATGATTACAGAATCGCAGAAATCAAAGACTGAGGGCAGTGTTATACAGCATGGCCCTTCTGGACGTACAGAATCTGCTCCTCCATTGAATACTCAGACTATC